AAGCAATTAACCTTTTTTTGCAAGTGTGCCCTTTCACTGGAGTTGTGTAATTAGATGAGTTAGTGAGTGTGAAGATAAGGTAATCACATCACACCCCTGCAGACCAAACGCAGCAAACGCCACTGATTGCTGAGCACCTCTGCCACCTGCGCATCCGCAAACTGACCCGCCTTCCATCAGCTGAGGCCCTTTTGTTTGTTCTGTGAAGAGCACGCGGTCATTGCACACGACTAGATCGTATTTCGTATACATTTCAGTTGAATTTCCATGGTTATATTAATAGATGGAATTATTCTGGCACTGGGCATAGCAATGCATATTGCTACTGTGTTACTGTATATCAATTTAATAGAAAGTGTTACTGAAAACGTATGTTGTGGGAACTTACAGACAGCATTGTACTGTAAAGGGGAAAATGCCTCCATAAGTTATCTGTATTAAAATAGTAGGTAAAAATATCACCTGTCTCAATTATGTGAAATGCAATTGTCATTGTCATGACATTGAAAAGTATAATTTTCAATTGAACTTAAAAAAAAGAAGAAAAAAAAGGTATAACTAGATGAGTAAAGTTTGTAAACAAACTTTGAAACTTTGAAGCAGTTGTAAAACTTTCAAGTTTGAAAGTTTAGATACATTAGATAGATATTGATAGCACATAGCTTACATGATTTAACATGTTGCTAGCTTGTTTTTAACATGATTAGCATGTTGCTAGCACATTGCTAACACGTTTTAGCATGTTTTAGCATGCTAACATGATTAACATGTTGTTAACATGCTGCTAACATGTTTCTAGAATGACTACCATGTTGCTAGCATGTTTTTTTAGCACGATTAGCATGCTGCTAACATTTTGCTAGTCATGTTTCTAACATGATTAGCATGTGGTTAGCATGTTTCTAGTATGATTAGCATGTCTTTACCATGTTGCTAGCATGTTGTAAGCATGATTAGCATGTCATTATAATGTTGTAGCATGTTGTTACCATGGTATGTTGCTAGCATGTTGCTAGCATCTTTTAACCTGATTTAACCTATTGCTATTGTGTTTTAACACAATTTAGCATGATTAGCTTGCTGGTAGCATGATTCATCAAGTTTCTAGCAGGTTTTAACACATTTTTAGCATGATTAGCATGTCGTTACCACGTTGATAACATGTTTCTAGTATGATTAGCATGACACTAGCATGTTGCTAATACGATTAGCATCCTGCTAACATTTTGCTAATCATGTTCCTAGCATGAATAACATGTCACTAGCATGCTGATAGCATGATTATATGTTGTTAGCATGTTTATAGCATGATTAGCATCTTGATAGCATGTAGCATGTTTTTTTAACATGATTAGCATGTGTTTACCATGTTGCTAGCATGTTGTAAGCATGATTAGCATGTCATTATCATGTTGTAGCAGGTTGTTACCATGGTATGTTGCTAGCATGTTGCTAGCATCTTTTAACCTGATTTAACCCATTGCTATTGTGTTTTAACACATTTTAGCATGATTAGCTTGCTGGTAGCATGATTCATCAAGTTTCTAGCAGGTTTTAACACATTTTTAGCATGATTAGCATGTTGCTCACATGAATTAGAACATTGCTGCATGTCCAACCTAGTTGCTAGGCTTGACTTGTGATAGATAGATAGATAGATAGATAGATAGATAGATTAGAATTATTAGGTAGAATGGAAGTTTAAATGGCATAGAAATATTACATTCTGTCATCATCTACTCTCCCTCAAGTTGTTCCAAACCTGTATGAGATTCTTTCTTCCGTTAAGCACAAAAGAAGATATTTTGAAGAATGTTGGTAACAAAGCCAAAATGTTTCAGGTCCCCATTGACTTCCATGTTTTTTTCATACTATGAAAGTCAGTGGGGACCAACTGAACAACTTTTGTGTTCAACAGAAGAAACAAACTCCTTCAGGTTTGAGGGTAAGTAAATGATGACACAATTTCATTTTTGGGTCAACTACCCCTTTAAGGAGTTTTAATAATCCTCCACAGTTTACGTTCTGTATAGGGCATAATATTTGACTCAGTGTTCGTCCTACTGCCAGAAAGATCTCATAATGGAGCTCATAATAGCATTCAGTATGAAATATGGTGCTATATGTTCAATGCTCTGTGTCTAATAGAAAACATTCTCGTTTTCTGGGTTAGTGAGGGCTTTAAAATTAATAATAGCTAACCTTTATTTTCTATTTACATTCAGGGCCGGTACATCTTAAGCTCAGTGCGATGTGATCTGTCATGCAATAGATCATTGGGTGAATTTTCTCAGTGGTTTGGCGTAATAATGACACAAGCATTATGTTGTGCATTACATGTGCATCTCTCTTTACATAGGCATGGTCGTGCTCACCAAGACTAATTAGATGTCGTCTCAAATAAATACAGAGAATGTAAGTGTAACTAATCATTAATCAAATACTGACACACAACATCATGGCAATTAGCAATTAACTGCAATTCTCTGTGATCTGCACCGGCTGCAAACATGCAGACTAAGATTTGACTGAGAAAAGATGGCGGTTTGATTGTTTTCATTTTAAAACTGTTTATTGTGTTTTACATTTTTTTTATGATTTAATGAATAATTAGCTTTTTATTAACTCACAAACGCCCTGCAGTTCCCTCATGAAGTTTAGTTGATGAACCTTCTAAGAAACGTTTTAGTCTCCTATAAATAAAGTTCTAATTACAACAAGAAAAGTTTATTAGAATATTAAAACTAAACATTGAAATAATGTTATATTTTGCGTAAAAAAAATAGAAGGCTGAACGAATTAAACATAAACATTCAAATTATACTATATTTTGGGTGATGTTTGGGAATGCTCCCACAACGTTTATGACCATAATTTGTAAACTGGGAATGATAAATCAATAAAGTTGATCCAGTCTTAAATAGAGTTGATCTTATCTTATTTTTTATCTCACTTTACATGTTCCTACCTAAAAATGATAGACCATACATAACAATAGCATATCAGATGGTCCTGGGTAGATTTGTAGTCCCAGTCTATTCAATATCTGCTGTAGTTTAGAAAAATTTGATCTGTCTCTCTCTCTGTTAATGTATGTTATTTAATATAATTATATCACCATACTTTGTGTTATATTAGCCTGGTACAATAATAATAATGTTATATTTAATAGCAGATGTTCTATTTGTTAGCTAGGAAACATGCTGGATGAATGAATGAGGAGTCTTATTTTAATTGCATGTGATATGTGACATGAAATTGTTTACTTTATGGGGTCACCGTACATTAACTTTAAAAACAGGAACACTGTCTGTTATTCCTCATTTAATGCATCTGCAAATCTACTGTCATGCAAAACCGTGTTAAACATGGATGTTCCTCTAAAGACGCTTTATGGTGGCATTAGGGAGGTTCATAATGAAATCGGATTATTTTGGGAAGCTGCTAGCCTTTTCTAGGTTAATGGCAGCTACGGGGAGAAAATGGTGGGAAATTGAGAGGAAACAAGGGAAGGAAAATCGGTAATGTGACGGATGTGGGGACATAAGACGATGAGATATAAGCAAACAGAGCGATGGCAAGAAAAGGCGAGCGTGCTTTAGGGCTCTTTATACGTGTAGGTCAGGCCCAGTAAAAGGGCAGATCCTCATAAGAGTGATATATCATCCATAAGACTGAGACGCAGGAGCTTGATTGTGTTTCATCAGGCCCTTGCTTTCATCTCATTGTCATCTGGGGTCCAAAAGCCATCAAATCAGAAAGGCAAAGCAAGAGAAACAAAAGGAACGAGGAGCATCAAGCAGAGACTGAATGTGCATCAAATCAGAAGATGGGGCTGATGCTCAGAGACGTCGTCCTAAAGCTTTCCGGCACCGCCGCTGCGCTTTGATTACCCATCCCACAGGATATTTTCTGCATTATTCGCCATGTTATAGAGAGAGGAGAGTGCTAACACACACGCAGACAGACAAATAATTGCTTAGTCATATAGTCAAGAAGATAGACTGATGGACATCGGTTTTGGAGCTCAGTTGTTTCTTGTAAGGAAGCAAATTTGTAACAAAACATTTAAACAAATCCATTTCATCCATCTGTGAGTTCACATATGAGAACTCAACACACAGTTCTGTTTCCACTGCCATTTGCAATGTTCATCCAAGTCAAAGTTTAGAGAAATCAGGAGCAGTTTAAAGCAGTTGCCCTCTGTAAATTTTCACAGGCGAAATCCAGTCATTTCAAAGCTGTTCAATTTTCCCACACAGATTTAGCAACAAGTTCAAGTTGGTCGCACAGATTCGACGTGGACTGGTTACCTCTGATACAAAAATCCTCCATTATACATCCACATTCATGTCCTGAAAAAGTACCACCCTGCTGTTCATCCCAGCCCTTGGCAAAGTATTAAATAATTACTCATCAGACAATGATACACTGTCTTCAGAACACCCTCGTTCTTCTGATCTGGCCTCTTTTCATTAAAAGCCTTATGCGAGCAGATAAAAAAGAGCAGTGACAGACATTTCTTAAAAATAAAAGTTTTAAAAAGAGGGTTTTTACAGCAGTACTATAGAAGAACCATTTTTGGTTCCCCAAAGAACCATTCAGTGAACTGTCCTAAAAATAACTTTTTTTAAATTATAGAACTTTTGGTACCAGCGAAGCTTTGGTGACCTTTAAGCTGTCCTTGTTACATGTTACATGTACTATTATAATAACAATAAATTATGCATAATTGCATGCAAGTAACCCTAAGCCAAACCCTAATCCTAACCCTAACCATATAGTAAGTACATGTAGCTAATTAATATTACGCAGTACTTAAATATATAATTACACTGTAACAAGGACACCTTGTGTGTCTGTAAAGTGCAACTGAACCTTTTTTTTTTTTACATGATGAAGAACCTTTTGTGCAATGGAAAGATTCAATGGATGTTAAAGGTTCTTTGCAGAACCATAAATGCCAATAAAGAACCTTTATTTTAAGAGTAGAATACTACAATACCTACACTAGCTATCTTTACATGAAACCCAGTAATTCCTTCATTATTGGATTGATGGCTCAGTAAGACTGAAAAGCCTTTATATAAACCCCATAATACGATTTGAATTAAATTTTGATCCGGTTGAAAAGGGTGCTGTGGATCTGAAATAATCTGTTTGGCAGTTTTAGCCATCTTAACAATTAAATCTGACTGTTTTCTCAATCAGATAACGTAATGCATCACTTTCCATTAAAAGTAACTACTGTAACTAATTGTTAATGAGTAACACGACATTGTAATCCATTACTTTTAAAAATAACTTTCCCCAACACTGCTGATAAGTGTAAACCCTTCAACTCAAGGAATGGGGGTCACAAATGATAACATTTTGAAACTCAGAGGGCAAGCATCCCACCACCGTTTATCCGCTTCAACTTACATTAGCGATCAGACTCCATACATTTTCTATTGCCAAGTTGCCTCTATCATATACTCCCTTATTCGGATTGCTTTAAAGGTGCCTCCTTTCATATCTAGAGATGTTAGGTTTGCAGCAATCAGTGTTTCAGTGTTGTCAAAACAGCCCTTCAGATGAATTGGAAACCTACGAGAAACTTCCTCAGGAAAGTTTTGGGGCAAGAGGCTGAAAGTTATAAGAAAAAAGCCTTGTCAAGTGATGCCGAGGACAGGATTGTCAGCGCAGGCAGGTGTTTCTCATCAGCAAGGCTTTCTCTTGTAACTTGGAGAAATTTTGTTCGATTCAAAGAGCATATCAAAGGGTTTAACTTGTGCACCTTGAACAGCTGTTGACTAACAGAAGAGCCTTGATCTGTGAAAGTTTTTCAGATGATAAGCACATTAATCCTTGGTTCTTTTGGAAATTTCAAAGAACTATCAGGATTTTTAGACGTTGCAAAGGAGATGTTTTGGTTCAGCTTGTCAATCTGACAGTCATTCCATTAGCGAACAGATCATCTTGAGCTCTATGATGTGTGGTGTCTTCCCCAAGCTGAATTTTGGTTACAAGACGGCACTAAAATAAGTAAGTAATACACCTTTTGTATAAATCAAATATATTAAATATCAGGGTTTTGTGAGCCCTTACATGGTCATTTGACCCCATATGGGCTATAATGTACTTTTTCGGCTTGAGCAACAGCGTGAGCCAGAACAAAATTTTACTTTTCTTTCTGGGTGTTCTTTTATTTGGAAAATTGGCTACAGCGATCCAATGCATGACTACTAACTACTGTGATCTTGAGCTTTAAAGGAAATGAAAGGAATAGTTTCCCCAAAAATGAAAATTTGTTGAACATTTGCTCCCCCTCGGGTCTTCCAAGTTAATTTCTTTATGGGAGAAAAATTGGAGAAATTTTGCATTCCACCACTTGCTCACCAATGGATCCTCTGCAGTGAATGGGTGCCGTCAGAATGAGAGTCCAAACAGCTGATAAAAACATCACAATAATCCACAAGTAATACACAGCACTCCAGTCCATCAGTTAACATCTGGAGAAGACAAAGTCTCTGTGTTTGTGAGTAACAAATCCATAATTAAGACGTTTTAACTTGAAACTGTGACTTCTGGCCAAAATACGAGTCCATAATCCATAACAATGCTTCCTCCAGTGAAAATCTCCTGTTGTCCTCTCACATCAAAACCCACTGTTTCGGTTTGTTAGTGGTACTTAATCTGCGCATAGTTCTCTCCTGATTCAGACCAGATGACTTTTTTGGCTTTGCATCACAGAAATAAATACTATTTTAAAGTATATTAAAATTGAAAAGCATTATTTTACATTGTAATATTATTTCACAATATCACTGTTTTTCCTGTATTTTTGATCAAATAAATTCAGCCTTGATGAGCAGAAGAGACTTCTTAAAAAAAAAAAGTAAAATCTTGCTGATCCCAAACTTTTGAACGACAGTGTACATTTCCTTTGTATCTAGAAAACTACAACTATGGAGCCGTTAAGGATTATTTTTGTTTGTTAATAGGTTATTAATGCTAGTTTTTTGACAGTCTTTCGCTAGTTTTTTTTTGCTGTAATTAGAACAGAGCGTTCTCGAGCCACTCCGTTAATTAAGCTCCCTTCATGTGTTGTTGAAACAAACAGTGCGACCTGTCACTTGCATCACTCGCTTTGCCGTTTTGCAATATTGCATGGAATCAATTGGCTGCTGCACTAATAAAGCTCTTTTCTCGTTTGTGATGAATCTTACAGAGGGCATGAATATTTCAGGCGCACATGCAACTTTGATGGCTCACCCTGCATTATCCCCTGTAACTGTGTCACCTCCTCTCTGCCTTTGATGCTGAAGCGGAGGAGACACAGTCTTACAGGGACACTCTTCTGTTGCATATGCACTCAAAGGCTTTTTAAAATTCTTTTATTTATCGTATACCGCGCCTCTTTGTACAGTTATTTCTTTGTGCCATTACTTCAAATGATTTGATTTCTGTGAAATTATGCTTTTTTTCCCCTCTGTGGTCTGTTACTGGATGTAGGAGACACCAGGGTTTGTTGGCTACATATATAATGTATGATTTTGGTAACACTTTACGATAAGGTTCCATTAGCTAGCATTAGTTAATTACATTATTTAACACGGAAATAAAGCATTTATTAATCTTAGTTCATGTCAATTTCAATACTTACTAATGCATGATTAAAATCAAAAGTTTTGTCTGTTAATATTATTTATTCGACCCGAGCTGACATAAACTAAACATTAAGTGCAATTTTTATTACCGATCATTAGCAAAGATGAATAAATACTGTAACAAATGTATTGCTCTTTGTTAGTTAATGTTAGTTAATGCATTAACTTACGTTACCTAATAGGACCTTATTGTAAAATATTACCAATATTGATTTTAATTTATTTTTTTTGTATTTTGTATTTGTGTATTTCATGATTGTTTTTACTTTTAAATGTTACCATTAAAAGGCTTCATAAAGTTCATAATGAATTTGAACTTGGACATTTTTCATAAATTTCAAGTTGTCATTTGCAATTTATATATAATAATTTTATACAAATTACAGTAAATACAGTTTCTGTTGGGCAACATTTTTTTCCTTAAAGTTTTTTTTTTCATAATTGTTTTTACATGTTGCCATTAAATGGGCATTATACGATGCATTTATTTACATTTGAAGCTACATTCAGGTCCACAACACTGCTTTTTGTATTAATTATTATTATTATTATTATTATTATTTTACTGTGTACACAGTACTGTTACAAATGTGACTTTAATGTGATGACTGTAGTAGCATGTCTCTTGTCAAGTGTTTCTGTTCACACACACACACACACGCAGGAGTGTGACAGCAGTGCAGCAGACACAGGGATCTTCTCAACAGCGGTGTGAGTGTTATATATATATATATA